CAGAGGGCTACACTTACATTGGCATTGGCCTCGGAGGTAACGCCCAGTTGGCTGTATGAGGCAGATTTTCCAACTCTCTTTCCCTATTGGCACGATGTTGTGACCCTTGGGTCTTGGAAGCATCTGTTGAGAATTGGCCCTAGGGACACAAGAGTTCCTTCCAGGTCAGCAGAATCCATCTGTCCACTAAACTAGGGACTGTTCACCTCGGGAGCATCACAAAAACAAGGTGGACAAAGTACTTTGATCAAATGGCTGTTTCATCACTGCTACTTAACGGTGGTCATTTTTTAATTTCAAATTAAAAAATGGTTAATATTAGGGAAAGATAAATAACTAGAAGGATTGAACTGTGTTGAGCCTCTCTCTGTGTGAGTGTTCCAGGAGTCCCATTCTGGAAAATTCTCTCCCCTTCTGCCCTCTGCTCAACTGACACTTCTCCCGGGGAATTCAGATACCACGAAGACACGTTCACTTCCCCCCCAAGCAATGCTTTCACATGAGATGAAAGATGCTGGAAGTTTCCATTTCTCCTTGTTCTGACATGTACTGGCAATATCTTCAAGCCAAAGACAAAAATTCTACCAGGAGAAACAGGCCTGGCCCGTCCCTGAATGCTGGGAATGACATTGGGAAATAATTTCACAGCCGCTTACTGTCAAGACTCCCAATTCCACGAGGAAAGAGAGAAAAGGGTGGCACTTTCTACCCCACCGCAGCATAAACTCTGTCAGAAGCTCATTCCTGTTTGATGTCCCCCTCTTCAGTCATCACATTTTTTTTTTTTTGAGACAGTCTCACTCTGTCATCCTGGGGGAGTGCCATGGCATCCTACATAGCTCACAGCAACCTCAAACTCTTGGGCTTGAGCAATCCTCTTGCCTCAGCCTCCCTAGTAGCTGGGACTTCAGGTGCCTGCCACAACGCCTGCCTATTTTCTATTTTTGGTAGAGAGAAGGTATCGCTCTTGCTCAGGCTGGTCTGGAGAACCCCTGAGCTCAAGCAATTAACAGGCCTTGGGCTTCCAAATTGCTAGGATTACAAGTGTGAGCCACCGCGCCTGGCTCCTTCATCACATCTTAATGTTCTGCCTTCAATCAAAAAAGCCCAGAATGTTCAAGCCCAGTGAGTGATCCCCCTGCCTAGGTGCCCTCAGTCCAGGGAGAAGAAACAGCTGGGTAAAATGGGTTAATATCACGACAGAGTGATTTATCTTCCTTCCAGCAGTGATGCCAGGGTCATCATCTGCACCTTATCTGAAAGACAAAGGCTCTGGGCTGCAGCCCTGCATCTGTGAATGGCAGCTGCTTGTTGGAGGAAGCCAAGAGACTGTCCCCTGGAGGAGTCACACTCTGCACGGGTGCAGCAAATTAGCCTTGAGCATGAGAATAAACTTTTGTCCAAAAAGAAATAAGTGAACGCAGTGGAAACCCGAAGAGATTCGGAGGATGCTGAAAGCCCAGTGCTTTGCCCTTTGCTTCTGCTACAGTCTTTCCCTCTCATTATGAGATGAGGGGCCCCTGAATCGATCTAAGCTGCAGGCAGGAGCATGTCCTGGCATTGGCATTCTTGTAGCAGCCCACGTATAAAATTTAAAACACCTGGGTTTATAGGCAACAGAGGGGTCTAACTCGCTCCACTAGCTTTTCTAAATTCTCAAATGTGATGGCAACTCCATGGAGGGCAGATCCTTGTGAGAAGAGAAGCAGTTAACACAGCCACAGAAGCCATTATTTGAGAGACAGCGACAACTTCAGTCTACACATCAGATGAGACTTCGTGATTTTGTTGGGAAAATAATGGCCCAACATGGAAAGCAGTGAGTATAGACTGGAAAGTCTGAAGATGAGAGATCAGAAGGCAGGAGGCTCACTGTTTTCTTCTAAACACCTGCAGGTCCAGTAGGATGTTAGAGGCCCAGGCATCCAGTCCCATCTTTATAGAAGTCCATTCTACCAATGAGATTAGCATCTGAAACATAATATAGTCTACGTAACAGCAGTTTTGTCCAGCCACCAACAGCTGGCTTCCTGGAGGAAGCATCTGAACGACATCTTTAGTGATCAGATTTAGCCAGTGGAGGAGGAAGGGGAAAGAGTATACACAAGGCCATAAGGTTGAGACTGAGCGTAGTATTTTCAGAAAGCTGATTGTAAGGACACATGACTAAAAGGTATTCCATGGAGGGGTGGGGGATGGGAGGCTGCATCAGAAGGGCCCCACTCAGTGCCACACTGAGACTCTGGCCTCTAGCCCTGGGGCCAGAGCCAAAGAGGGAAGGGCCCCAATGTTGTGCTGAGACTCTGGACTCTAGCCCTGGGACCATGGCCAAAGATTTGTGCTGTAAAAGAAAGGTGCATTTAAGAAAGGTGACAGAGTTTAGTCTAAGTCAGAAATAGCTAGCAAAGGGGGAGGAGGGAGGGAGCAAAAGAGAAGAGAAGGCCCAGACCTGCTCGGGCATCACCTGCTGGGCCTGGGGGCAGGAGATGGCAGAGACAGATGCTCAGAGCACTGCAGGGGGAAAGGAGGTGAGTTGCCCATGGAGGCAGCAATAGGACCCTTGTCACAAAGGGTTTGTGTGTGCAACTGGCATTGCAGGGAATAGGACTTTGGTAAAACTGGGAAGGGAGGTGGCACAGGGAGAAGGACACTGAGGGAGGAGAGTGAGTGTGAGCCACAGAGGACGGGTGGGAAAGCGAGACGGGACATGTGCAGGAGAGAAAGGAAGGGAAGAGAAGTCAGCAGGCATGTGGCACAGAAGGAGAGCTTAGAGCAGCTGATGACAGGAAGGCTCTAGCTGCCTCAGCCTGACATGCAAAGACATGAAAACGTCTAAAGACGGAGTGAGGTGTGTGTGTGAGGGAGAGAGAGAGGAAGGAAGAGAGAAGGAGGGAGGAGGAGAGGATGAAAGGAGCACAGGCTGGGCACACGGCTCAAGCCTGGAATCCTGGCACTTTGGGAGGCTGAGGTGAGAGGACTGCTGAAGTCAAGACCAGCATGACCAAGAGCAAGACAAAAAATAGAAAACTAGCCAGGCACGGTGGTGTGCACCTATAGTCCCAGCCACTCAGGAGGCTGAGGCAGGAGGATCACTGAACCTTGTACTCTGAGGCTGTAGTGAGCTAGGATGACACTACCCCCCTCTAGTGGGGACACACAGCAAGACTATGTCTCAAAAACAAACAAGGAGCATAAATTCAGGAGTTCACTAAATTAACATCCTCTGACTATCTCAGAATTATTCATCAGCTAACAAGAAGGTAACTAACTCTGTGCCTTCGAGTTCTTGTGCCTAAAATTTCCTTTCCAGGAAAACTCCCTTGGCAGAGAGATTGTGGAAAAGTTTGCCCACTTCCCTCCCGCTGTGATCTCCTGGGAAGGGAAGCTAGACACCAAGACTTCCCCTCAGGGTAGGGACTCAAAGCCCTTGTCAGATCATCAGAATTAGACCGGACCCTGCAGTCAGCCGGATTTCTTGTCTGCCACGTATCACCACTGCCACACTGCAGTCAAGGGCCTTTGCTCAGGCTCCCTGTCTCATTCATTTATTTCAGCACAAGTGAGGCTTCTAAGATAGGCATGGGGGTGCCCCAGGGCCACCTCAACCCTGATCAGGGACAGGTCTTCTGCTTCCTGGTGACTTGTCACACCCACACTTCCTCTCAGACAGAGGAGGGGGGAGGCTCAGCAGTGACAACCAGCAACACACGCCCTTCCTGCCCCAAGGGTTTCCTGGGAGGGGCCAGTGAACACAGCAAGTGAAAAGGCCCCAGCCAGGACACCAGCACTGGCTTCTGCTTCTCTCCTGCGGCTCATTTGTAAGCATCTGGGAAAGACTCTTTGGTGCTGTAAGCAGCAGATTAGCAAAGCTCAAGCTGTAGTCCCCAACAGAGTTCCCCCAGAGAGGAGCCCTGGATGGGTATCTCACCCCACAGACCCATGTCCAGGGAAGAGGGCAGCTGCCCGGGCAGGCCAGCAAGGAAGACGGGGATGAAGGCACTGATCCCATTCTCAAGGAACTTCCAGTTAAGTCAGAGAGATGCATTTGTTACCTCATTAACTAACTGTTTCTCCATCAGCAGATCTTTCTCCAGGCTGGGCAACCTGCTCACTAGACAGTCAGATGTTTAAACAGTTCTCTTATGCTGGAGTCAGATCTGTTCCTTCATGTTCCCTACTCACTGGCCCTCGGACCAATTTGCCTAAGACTATAGTTCAGTATGAATTTGAATATGGTTTCTTTGTAGCTATAAATCCAATGATTAGCCGGCGTAAACTAAAGAAAGGGAAAAATAAATTGGTACTTTGAGAATGGAAGAGCTGGAACACAATCCAGGAACAAAATAATGTGAACAGATTTTGGAAAGGCAATCTTTTGGGTCACAAGAGTGAGCTAATGGTGAGCCTGAACTTTTGGTTGAGAGTTCTGGGAAACAGGAAATCTAAGAAAGGAAGTCAACTGCTTTAGACAGGTCCCACCTTAACCCTCAGGTACACACCTACTTGAAAAAGCTTATTTAAGAAGAATACTTATGGCCAGGTGTGGAGGCTCACGCCTGTAATCCTAGCACACTGGGATTGATTGAACTCAGGAATTGAGACCAGCCTAAGCAAGAGTGAGACCCCATCTCTACCAAAAACAGAAAAACTAGCTGGGTGTTGTGGTGGACACCTGTAGTCCCAGCTACTTGGGTGGCTGAGATAAGAGGATCTTTCAAGCCTAATAGGTTAAGGTAGCTGTGAGCTATGACACCACAGTACTTAACCACAGGGCAACAGAGTGAGACTTTGTCTCAAGAAAAAAGAAAAAGAAAAATACTTGTGTGTTAAGTATTCATTTACCAAAAAAAAAAAAAAAATCCATCTCATGTAACTTAATCAGGATAGTATCAGTTTTTAAGAGTAAATGCCTAAAACTCTCAGGTTTGTGTGTATTCGCTGCTATCACAGCTGACCTCCACGCAGCATTGCAAACACATTCTGAAACTCTCCATGATTACCTTTTATTCTGTGAGTCGAAACTCAAAGAGAAATCACCATGTCTTCAAGGGTGTCTCCTTCTGTTTTAGAAAACAACCGACCTCCAATGTAGCTCAAGTCTAGGAGGAAAAAAAACATTTTTAAAAATTATAAGATGCAACTGCCAACGTTGAAAAATACATATGTGAGATGGAATTAATTTGTGTTACACTTAACCTCTGAAAATATCCAGCTACTTCCTACCCTGTCAATATCTCTCATTCCCATATGATCTCGCATGGTAGACTGGAAATCAACACAATTTCTATAATTCTCTAGTTTTTGTCTACTTGATTATTTATTTAGTTATATATTCATTTGTTTTTAAGAGACAGAGGCTGGCTCTGTCACCCAGGCTAGAGTACATTGGCACGATCATTGCGGCCTCAAACTCCTGGCCAGTGTGCTGGCTTTTACCAGATAATTTAAATCACAACTAAAATTGCCTTCATTGAATCCACTTTAACCCAGCTTTGCCATTACCTACTGCAAACAGCCAAGTTATCCCCAATTTCAGTAACGCATAGCTCCCTTCCTTGCCCAGTAACCCCCTCAGCGTTGCGGCAAACCACATGAAACTGGCATTGCAAATAGTTGCCCCACACGGGCAGAGGGAGCAAAGACATCCGCCAGGCACAGGGGACATTACCAAGTAAGAAGAACAAAGTGACAATTATGCCTCCTTTATCTAGATAAGAGGTAGCACATCTAATTAGAATGGTTGAACAAACTATTTTTCTCCAAGGGAGTACTGAAAATGTCTAAGATCCTGAGGAAAAAATGGAAAGTGTTGTTATTGTTCATAAAGTAGCATTAACTAATTCAGTATGTGGGTGCTTTGGAGCCGTGAATCCAGCTGATTCCGTGCTGCTTCCCTCTGGGATGACTGATGGCTTTGTTCTCCGACTAGACTGCTGTTCTGACCAGTGCCACATCAGAAGCCAAAGGCCACCAGTTTTCCCAGGTGATCAAATGCCAGGTGTAACATGGCAGGGGCAGCCAGGCATTTGAAGATGCCATTCAGACACCACCTGGATTCCAGCCTTGTCCCTGGGCTCCTTTGTTATTTAACACCAGACTCCCTCAGATCTCTTTTTGCCCTGCTTGGCAGCAGCCAAAGTGACTGTTCTTCCAATTTCCTTTTGTTCTCTCTCCTGCATGACTTAGCTGGGCACTCTGCCTTAGTTTTCTTCCTGTCACAGCAGCGACAAAAGGCATTTAAGAACTAAAATGCACACAACTGTGTTATATGTGTGAGACGCTCTTTAAAAATAATCAACTACCTACAAAGATGTCTAGAGTGACATGGCCCTCCCAAAAGCCCCCAAACACCCAAATATGAAGATGTTCAGTTGCCCCATGATCAAGATAATATTTAACTATGTTAAAACATATTTACTCAGTGGACTATCAGCCATTTAAAACAATAAATGAAGATAATTTTATCAAAATAATAAAGGAAGATATTAATGTCACAACATATATGCAAACACATAGGCACCAGTGAAAAGAGCAGAATTTGAAATTGTACCAAAGTGCGGAATACAACTTCACCAAAAGCATAATTACATGTGGCTGAAACTACATGAAGCTACTGAAATTATAAAACACGAATACAGAAAGTGTCCCCAAAATGTATACATGTGTTAAGAAAGGAAAAAATTATATTAAAATTGCAATACTCTGTATATACCTATAAGAAGAAGAGATGTCACATTTTGACTTCTGCAATTACAAGAGGTGCTCAAAGTATATATGTAATATATAGCACATAGGTAATATCTCCTTCAATCTTACACACTTTCTTTGCACCTTGGCACCCCCTTTGCATAGGGCAAATAAATTAAAAGAGGAGTTGGTTGACGTCTGCTAAATTCTCAGGATCTAGGAAAACAGAATGATATCAGGCTTGCCAGGCTTAAAAGTATCCAACAACTTAGAATCACAGAATGTTATGACTAGAAAGGACTTTAGCTCAACTTTTCCAATTCAAAGATAAGTAAATTTAAGCCCAAAGGAAGTGATTGCTCTCTGGTCCCCCAGCTAGCTACTTGCTGGCAGAACTGAGCTAGAGTCTATGTAGTCATGAATTTCTTTTTTATAGTCCACAGGGCTGTGTTTGTACAAATAAATCAGGGAGTCCATATTATCTGAGTAGTCAGTATCCAGATTCCCTAGGGAAGCCCATCTTGAATACACTAAACTATCTACTAATAACCAACCACTTTATCACTTGACTCCCTACTCAAAAATCTACCCTTGTTCAAAGTCGGGTCCATACCTCACTCTGTCTGTCTGTGTCTTGTGCCTCTCACAAAAGGATGTGAAGGATGTGTATCTACGGCAAAGCAAAATCGCGAATCTTGCCCCTGTACAAAATTTTCTGAGGTTAATGAAAATGACATTAGAGAATTTGCCCTAGAAGAGGTAAAACAAAGGCAAGTGGGGACTGAGCGGTCTGATGAGGAAACCATCCTTTAAAAGAAATGTTAAAAAGTTGGTGATAAGGTAGGGATTTCAAAAATGAGTCATTAAAGAATCTAAAAGGAAATCAAAGGAAAACGACCAAGACCTGTAATACTTCTTAACCCTTGGTCATCCTTGGGAGGTGATACAAGTGTTAAATGTGATATGAAAATTACCACAATGTAGAATCATCTAATCTTGTCCCCCCAAATGTTACTCTTCCCCAAACAACCAACATTTCATTTTTGCAGTTTTTTGGGGGGGGCGGGAGGTAGGGGCTGGATTTGAACCCTCCACCTCCCATATATGGGGCCAGCTCCTACTCCTTTGAGCCACAGGCGCCACCCTCAACACTGCATTTATGTATTGTTCACTCTAACGGCCAGGCATGGTCACGAGGATTACCTAAATCTTGCTAACTATAAACCAAAATAAACTAATTTTCATAATTTTTCATTTATTTGTTCAAGATTAAAGTCCCCAAGTTTCTATATTTTTCATTATTTTGTGCAATTTTGGTCCTCATTCAAGTGGAGTCACTTTAAATGGCCTTTTTCCGGTTCTCATTAGCCTCAGATAACAAGGACCTGCTGTAGTCTCTTCAGAAAGAATTTTTTTACAGCATAAATCAGTAACATGAAATGTATTTATATCACTTTTGAGCCAAGCATACATTTTTGAGGAAGAAACTTCAGACCTACAATATGTACTACCAGGCGACTCCAGGTTTTTATTTTGTCCTTCTGTCATCAAACATAACTTGTTTTATACTTTACACAAAATAAAAACAAAGGTCACAAAAAAGCACAAATGGCCATACTTGTCTCAATCCTTTTGTAAAAAGTATGGAAAAAGGATAATAACGCATTTATCACCCTGAATGACATAATGAAGTTTCCGGTTCTGACAACCTATTTTTCTTGAACAAACCCAAGGGAAAACCTTCATATGGTTGTTAATCGTTGCTGATTTGCATACTGTGATTAGTTCCATCGTGCAATTATCCGTGGTTCCTACTTCACCTGGGAACAATCAGGCTGGCTGAGTTTTCCTGTGTTCCAAATGTTTATCATATGAAAATAGTTAATATTCAGGGCTGTCTAATGTCCATTAAGATAATGAAAGCTATTCTAAGTACCATAAAAATATGAGGCTTCATTTTAGAAGCATCAATTATTCAGTGGAACATTTTCTTCTAGAAGAATAAGGAGAATAAAAGAATATTTTTTTTTTTCCGTTTGAGAAAACTGCAGTGTTCTACGGTAGATGAGTATCTTTTTTTCCTTGTACTTTTTAACCCACAACAGCTTTTAGGAGTCTCACTGACCACTGGTGAGCCATTTAAACTATGTGGGCTAATAAATAATTTCTAAAGAGTCATTTACTGGATATTTTCCAGTTTCTGTGACCAAAATAATAAAAAATGGATGAGTCAGTTTGCCCACTAATTCTGTCTCCGAGGTCAAGACCAAGTCTTTCTGCCAAATTTGCTTATCTCTCCAAAGAGTGTAAATTTACAGCTCAGGATTATAACATGACTAATAGTTCCTTCCAGATTTCCAAGATAACAAAGGCCCAAACTAATTCTGGTCACCAGAGGCTGAACAGCAAAGATTATGGAAGACCTGCCACTCTTGTGTTCTAGGTAGATATGTGAATTACCTCACTGCTGTTGTCTTAGAATTAGAAGAAAAATGAGCTCAACATCACCCTTTCAAATATTTGAGACTCATGCTAAGTGGAACAAGGGAGCTTCTTTGCCTAGGTCCCCTTCCTGGAATGAAATTAGCAAGCAGCAGGAAGGGGTCAGCCAAAAAACAACCAGAGACTCAGGGACCAGGGGAATCCCTGCATTAGCTCACCTGGTTGAATTACTATCCACTTAGTTTTATACAAAGGGGGTTTTCAAGCCAAGAAACGTCATCAAACCATAGGAAACAATTATAAATTAAGACTCTGCATTTTGGGGAAACTGACTCACAACCAGAGAGGTTTGCCAACATTAAAAATGTCTTTAAAAGGAAATGTATTAGATTACCATAATAAAGCAGAGAACGTTCCACCTGTAGGAGCAGGTGAGCTCAGGAGTCAGAGAGACAGCATTCACCTACTTCCTAATTCAGACCAAATGTCATAATCAAGTCTCTTTACTCTTCTGTAAAATGGGTACAAGAACAAACTCAATAAGATTTTTAAAAGCCTTAAAGGGGATAATCAGTGTCAAGCACGCAGCACATGGTGCTTGGCAAACATGAGATGTTCAGGAAGTTTCTGTTATTATTATTTTTCCTGCCTCACCCAGAATAGAATACTTTCCACTTTTTCTGAACTTTGAGGGAGGCGATGTAAGCCATTTGCTCTAATTAGACCTGATCCTTTCTACTCAAAACAGTGACTAGGAAGTTATTTTTATTACTCCAAAGATGTAGAAAAAGTAATACTCCAGAATGCAGCATTCTAAAATTCTCTTTCCGCACGGCTACTCCAGAATGGATAAGGCCCATATAGTCTTTGTTTAATGATGGCTAACTCTGATGCAGCCCTTATGGAGTGCCCTGCATGCTAAGTGTTCTCTATAAGTTAACTCCTTTCATCTCCATCGTAATCCTATGAG